CGTAGCGTGCATCTCCCATCCACCGAAATCTATGATCAGCTCGGTGTGTGTCTCCTCCTACCGTGGACGCAAGTCTGGGAACAAACCACCCTCCAAAACATGCCTGAAGGAAGAGATGGGCAAAGGGGAAGAGTCGGACAAGATCACCATCAATGTAGGGGGCACCCGGCATGAGACCTACAAAAGCACCCTACGGACTTTGCCGGGCACCCGCCTGGCCTGGTTGGCTGACCCCGATGCCCAGAGCAACTTTGACTTTGATGGGAAAAGCAATGAGTTCTTCTTCGACCGTCACCCTGGGATCTTCTCCTACGTGCTCAACTACTACCGCACCGGGAAGCTGCACTGCCCCGCGGACATCTGCGGACCCCTCTTCGAGGAGGAGCTGACCTACTGGGGCATCGATGAGACAGATGTGGAGCCGTGCTGCTGGATGACCTACCGCCAGCACCGCGATGCTGAAGAGGCGAAGAGGCCCTGGACATCTTCGAGAGTCCCGAACCTGGTGGAGGGGCTGGTGGAGAGGAGCCTGAAGAGGAAGGGGGTAGGGAGATGGCCCTGCAACGCCTGGGCATGGATGACAGGCCACCAGGCGCGGCGGGGGCTGCCGGGGGGGGTGGGCGCTGTCGGGCATGGGTTTTTTTTTCTCTTTGAGGATCCCTACTCGTCCAAAGCGGCAAGGGTAAGCTCCTAAAACACCGTGGGAAGGTGGGATGGGATGATACTGGGGTCGTGTCTTCATCTCCCCATCGCCATGGGGGAGATGGACTTTGCTAGTGGGCCACACCATAGCCATCCCCTTCCTACCATGGGGCACATTGGCCAGATCTCATTCTACAGGAAATCTCTTCCATCATCTCCCCATCCCCTCCCAGCGCATCTCATCTGGGCTGACGCTGGGGGCAAACCCACCCGCTGCCTCCTTTGCCCAGCTCCTGGGCACACAGAGAGGACGGATTGTCAGGGAGAGTCCTTGGCAGGGCTGAGTCCTGCCAGAGTTTCAGGATGTTCCAGGACAGGCAGGATTGCTTGGGTTCCTCTCACTGGGTTGTGTGCAAACCCTGACAGGTATGGAGTTAATGGCCCAGGTATGGAGTGGGGGGAAAGGGCTGGTGCCTGCTGGCCCCAGTTCAGGTCCTGAAGCAGATGGAATCCTCATGGTTATCCACAGGGAGCTCGTGGTCCTCTACTAGAGCCTCAGCAGCCCCAAAGGACACCCCATGGCTCTGCACAAGCACCTCTGCCTGCACCCCACCAGCACCCTCGTCCCTGCACCCTGGTCCACACCATCACTGCATTGATGCTGCCCACACACAGCATACGGTGCCCATCAGCACGTGCGAGCACAGGCTCTGAGCCACAGTAACTCACACACACACCCCCCAACCCTCCTCATCTTCACACATCCCTGAGGACCAGGTACACCGTGTACACACACCCAGGAGCACATAGACACACAAATAGCCCCGTCGTGACCCTCCTTGGCCATGCAGACAGTCCCTATCCACAGACACTGACATGCTCAGGATGTATCCTACATAACCAGGTGCATCTTTGGGCTCCCAGCCCGGTTTGGGCACTATTCTGTACCTGTGTTTCCTCTTTCCTGCTACTCTTAGATCATCCCCGAAGTGCTGCCCACTGACCCACAGACAGCCCCCCATCCTCACCTCATCCCAATCCCCACCGCATCCCATCCCCGTGTGTGTATCCCACATCACACAGCTTATAAATCCACCACACACACACACACAGAGGCATTTGGGCTCTAAATGAATTCTGGATGTATTTAGAGGTGTAAAAAAAGCCCTCAATGGTAAGAAATCCTGCAGGCATTTCACACCCACCAGCAGCACACAGGGCAGGGGGTCAGTTTGTCAAGGCAGTGTTTTTGCTGCTAACACAAAAGCAACACACACGCAGAGGATGCTTGGCCAGCAAGAGCTTAACTTGTTTTAAAAGGGTTGCCTGATCCTTTGCCCATCCCTGAGGGCTCATCACCTTCGAGAGATGCTCTGAGTGGTGCTAAGCTCCAAATAAAAAAGGAAAGAACCCCCAAAATAAACCCAAGCACAATAATTCAGCTCAGATTTTTCACACTGCTGTTTGGTTCTGCTTCTCCCGTGTGCTGAGCTGCTCTTGGAGAGGCATTTGCTTTAGGAGGAGTGTGTTGGAGGGAACAGAGAGGGAACAGGTTGTGATGTGAGCCCTGGGTTGGAGTGGGACCAGTCTGCACTGGGAGCTCCCCACTTCCTTCTTCCTGCTCCCAGGTAAAGGCTCACCTTAGCCCTGCCATGGGGACAGTCACCTTCCAGTGCTATGACCTACAGTCTCTTCTGTTCCTATATCCTACTCTCAAACATCATTATAGTTCTACAGTGGCTCAGGAGAACTGCTTTGGCAAAGGGGAAACTGAGGCACAGAGCAGTGCAACCTGCCCAGTGCACCCAGTTAATGTGGGGAGCTGTTACTGGCTTGGAGTCACCATCCATCACTGGGATGCTCTGGAGCCCATGAGCATCTCTGCATGTGCAACGTTCATGGTGCTGCCGTGGTGTTTTGGAGTGGCTGAAGTGGCATTTCTTTAATGCTGCCCCATTTTGGAGTGTCCCCCTTCCTTTTTGAAGCAGAAGGGGTGCTGCTGATGCTGGAGCAGCCGGTCTTCCCAAACCTTGGC